CCCGCTGGCTTGAGCAGGGAACAAGGGCACACACCTCTTGAGCCACTTCAACCATCAGCTGGACAGCGGGGCAGGGACCAGCGACCGCAGGACCAGTGGGCAGAGGCGGGTTTGTTGGCGGGAGTAGCGCAGAGGTCTGGGTGGGTACACTCTGAGAGGCTGCGGCCACTGTGGGGGCCAGGGAGCTGGGGAGCTTGGGCAGGAGCTCAGGGGCAGGAGGCAGCAGAGTATCTGGCAGAGGAGGGGAAAGGACAGCAGGCGGCAGGGACACAGCAGAGACTGGAGCAGCAGCAGCGACATCCGCAGTGTACGAAGGAGGGTGGCCCAGCAGGACCTGGGGGCACAAGGGATAAGAATGCAGGCTGGGTACCAGGGAGCAGCGGCAGGGGCTGTGCCCAGATGCACCAGGGAGCACACAGGTTTGGGAGGATAAGGACTATCTCTCTGATCCACATGTTCCCCAAAGGTAATCCTTGTCTTAGAGCCCATCTGGAATGTGAATTTGGAAGAGGTAAACAGGCATGAGCCTCCTCAGACACCTTCATGTGGGAATACACAGGCCTACACTCCCAGGAACTGCAGAGAAAGACCAGACAAACAGTCAGAATGCAACACACACTTAGTGTCTCCCTGGGACATCAGCGTCCTGCTTCCGGGGCCTTCTACCTAGTTCAGAGCATGGGGGAGCCATACCCAGTCACCCTTAGTGTGCTCAACACCTGCCTTCTCTCACAAAGTGATTTGGAATTCTGGCTGACTTTCCCCTGTGGGTGTGAAAAGTAAGAAAAAGAGAAAATATGGCTCATAGACTTCAATGCGAGAACACACCCTCCACGGCCCCAGGTAGGCCAAGAGGTTGGGCATCCAGTCCTTTTGTCTCTCAGGAAAGGGAACAGCCACATTCACTTAAGATTACTCTTGATCTGCAGAATCAGAGAGCTCACTTTTCTCCTGGACACACCCCCTCTGCTGGAAGGAATGCCTTTGGGGCAGCCAGCCCAGCTCATCAATAAACTTCTAGAAGCTTAATGTAATTAAATTTTTTTTAGAAAGGGGTCAGTGTCTTGGTTAGTTTGATGCCAACCTGACACAGAGTCATCGGAGAGGAGAGAGTCTCAGTTGAGAAAATGCCTTCATAAATTCAGACTGTAGGCAAACCTGTTGGGCATTTTCTCAATTAGTGATCATTTGGGGAGGGTCCTATCCATGGTGGGTGGTGCCATCCCTGGGTGGATGGTTCTGGGTCCTATAAGAAAGCAGGCTGAGCAAGCCAAGGGAAGCAAGCCATTAAGTAGCATCCCTCCATGGCTTCTGCACCAGTTCCTGCCTCCAGGTTCCTGCCCTGTTTGGGTTCCTATCCTGACTTCCTTCAGTGAGGGACAGTGATGTGGAAGTGAAGGTCAAATAAACCCTTTCCTCCCCAAGTTGCATTTGGTCACCGTGTCTTATCACAACAATAGTAACCCTAATTAAGACAGTCAGCAAGATGGTTTAGTGGGTAAAGGCCTTGAAGCCAAACCTGAAGATCTGAGTTTGATTCGTAAGACCCACATGGTAGAAGGAAAAAAACCAACTTCTGTAAGTTGTCCAATGATCTCTGCATGTGTACTGTGACACACACGAGCAGCTCCCCCATTACACAAACAAATAAATAGAAAGCCAGGCCTGGTGAGCCAGCTCAGCAGTTGAGCACATACTGCTCTTGCAAAGGACCCGAATTTGGTTCCCAGCATCCATGTTGGGCAGCTCACAACAGCCTGTAATTCTAGCTCTCTAGGGATCCAATGCCTCTGGCTTCTGTGGGCACCTCCACTCATATATATATGAAAATGTCTAAACACATACATATAACTAAAAATAAAAATATTTTTTTATTAAAAACAAAATAATAGGGGCTGGAGAGATGGCTCAGCAGTTAAGATCATTGCCTGCTCTTCCAAAGGTCCTAAGTTCAATTTCCAGCAACCACATGGTGGCTCACAACCATCTGTAATAAGGTCTGGTGCTCTCTTCTGGCCTGCAAGTATATATGTAGACAGAATATTGTATATATAATAAATAAAAAATATTTTAAAAAATTTGCCGGGTGGTAGTGGTGCACGCCTTTAATCCCAGCACTCGGGACGCAGAGGCAGGCAGATCTCTGTGAGTTTGAGGCCAGCTAGTTCCAGGACAGGCTCCAAAGCTACAGAGAAACCCTGTCTTGAAAAACTAAAAAAACAAAAAATAGATAAAATAAACTTCTAGAAGTTCTACCAACCAACCACTTGAAGAGCTCACCAGTCTGTAGCAACCACAGAACCCAGAAAGGCCAGCAGCAGAAAACAAGACCCAGAACACACAGACGGTATTAGACCCTGTTCTCTTGCTGCTTAGCCTCACCCTACCTAATCAGTGAGCTTAGCGGTCACTGACACCTTCTCCATGAGAACACAAGACCAGCATGCTTCTTCCCACCAGCTTTTTAGACAGATGCTTTCTGCTGGCCAATAAACACCACTCCCACTCCATCTCCAAGCACCAGTGCCTCCAGAAATGAGTTAGAGGACACAAGCTGAGCAGCACAAAACTCAGTCATGTAGCACCTGGCACTCGGGTGCTCCCTGGACCCTTCACTCTTCACAGCGAAGCCAGGAGGAGGTGCTGGTCCACATCAGAGGAACCTGAGGATCCTGAGGCTATGCCTCAGGTTCAGAGCTGGCAGGGTTTAGGGTTGAGGTGAGAGAGATCAGGTTCAGAGACTGCCCCCTGCCCAGATAAAACTGTCAGGCAGGAAAATAGATGCTCAAGTGTGTGTGTTGGGGGGCTGCCAGGTGAAGCGAACATCTTCACCTGGTACCCGGTGGGAGACATCCAAGTAAAGAAGGCCTCTGACGAGCGGACTCAAGTGGGAAGCATCAGGTCTGTTCTTCCTTGCCCTCATTAGGGCTTAAACAGAATAGACCGGGAACTCCAAACATGAATGTCCTGGGCAGGTGTGTGAAGCCACAATGGCAGGCCTCCTGCCACAAGGCACCTCACCCTAAATGCCACAGCATCCCTTCATTGATATCTTGGCACACTGTATAGATCCTCACCTGACACCTGTCCTGCAAGAATCATCTCCCACCCAGCAGGCAGCCCAGTGGCACATATACCCCCTTACCGCTGTTTTGTTTCCTCTTTGTTCAAATCGGAATGTCCATTCTACCTTGCTTTGTCTTCTGTAAAGGTTAGCCTGGGGTACACGCAAGTATCTACAGAGGAGCCACTTCAGGCCAATAGGACTGCTAGCACTGGCAAAAGGTTGAGCACAAGGGAGTGCTCAGCCCCAAAGCAGAAGCAGGGAAGGAGCATGGAACACATCAGGCATCCTGATGCTCACAGCTCCTGAGAAGGCAGCGGATGCTCTGCATTGGCTCAGGCCTCTGTCCCAACATTCTCTTCATAAGAAAGGTCAACTAGGGGCTGGAGAGATGGCTTAGAAGAGCACTTGCTCTTGCAGAGAAGCTGGATTCAATTCCTTAGCACCTACATTGTGACTCACAACCACCAATAACTCCAGTTCCAGGGAATTTGACACTCTGTTCTGCCCTCTGCCAACACCAGGCAGGCACACAGATGGTACAAATACATCATACATGTAGGCAAAACATTCATACACATAAAATTAAATAGATTAATATAAAAATAATTTTTAAAAAAGATTAAAGGCTAACCACAGGACAGAACTGTCCCTGAATCTGGGTACTAACAGGAGCCATAGCCCTGTAAAGGAAACCTGGCCCTGAGGGTCTCCAGGCAGTAAATGTAAGTTCACTCCCACATGTCCATTACCTGGGTCCCTGAGGCAGCAGTTGGAGCAGCCTGCTCAGGTAGATGGACGACAGTGGGCTGGACAGGCTGAGGAGGCACAGGTGAGGCCAGCTGTGGAGGGGTGGCCCGTAAGCTCTGCACCGTGTGGTGGGGTGAGGGTGGGATGTCTCCAGATGCCATCTGCGGAAAGGCTGCTGGGTACACAGGTTGAGCTGGGAGCTGGGCCGGGAGCTGGGCTGGGATCTGGGCCACTGCTGGATGGATGGACAGTGCAGCCACACCCTGCGGGGCCACAGCCAGCAGAGGGATAGCAGCTGGTGCATTTGGCACGATGGTCTGGCAGGGCACAGTCAGGGGTGCTCCTGGGGGGTGAGGCAGCTTGACAGCCTGCAGAGGCAGGGCCGGTGATGTGGGCAAGGGTGTCGTGAGGCTTGGCAAGATCACAGCAGGTGAGAAATACTGAGGTGGTGGCACGGGGGCCACATTTGCAGCTGGCAGATCAGTGAGGGTCTGAGGGAGGCCATCGAGCCCTGCCAAGGGAGTGATGGGGGGAACCACAGGCATTTGAGGCATCTGAAAAAGGCACAGTGACACGTTAGTCAGGCTGCTATCCAGGGGCCCACAGCATCAGTGGGAAGTGGCTCAGGCTCCCAAACAGCTGCTGGCGATGAGATGATCCCAACAAGCCACTGTACAACATCATAAACCTGCCTGCTGGACTCTCTCCCTTGGCACCAGCATGGAGGGGCTGGTATGTCCAGGTTTCCAAGGACCACAGGGCTCTGGTGCTTCAGAGCACTTTTGTTTGGGAAGACTGAGACTATCCAGGCTCCCGGGCTGGCCCAGTCACCCAGAGTCTCATCGGCCTGAAGGCTCATCCTGTGAACTCCATGGAAGCCAGCCCCTTGGAGAGTTCTCAGTACAACCTTCTTTGACAGATGAGGCAATGCCACTCCCTGTGGCATTCAGCCTCTCAACAGCAGATAATCTAAAACTTTGTTTGCTCTCTCAGTATCAGGTGGTACCTGGCGTGGTGGGTTAAACACGTTCTACTCGGCAGCCATCCCCTAAGCAATGCTTTCTTTCTACTTGCTCACAAGCATCATGTTAACTACCCCTCTGTACAATTATGAGGGCACAAAGACATGCAAATCTACTGTGATGCACATGACAAACAGCTAAACGCCACCCGCAGTGACAAGCACACCTGTAAGGAGCTGCCCTTAGCTTCCTTCCCGGAGCTCTGCAGGACAATCATCTGAAGCAGATTGCTTTCTAAGCCCACTCAGTGGTCACAAGGAGAGCTTTGTCCTTGGCTTGGACTAGCCCTTCCCCCATCCTGGACGACAATCCAGTAGATGGCAAAATGACAGCTGTCCCACCCACTCCTTGAGGAGTCCTATATACACCACCCTCATACAGAGGCATCTCAGTCTGGGAAGACAGCTTGCCAGGGTAGAGAAAAGGTGAAGCCCCAGGAGGGAAACCAGACAAAGGAGGCTGTCCCCAGGGTCCCTGGCCTGCTGTAGTAGTTACAGGAGCAGATGTGAAGCACTAGACAGATAATATACAGGGCATAACACTATGTTCCAAGTCTACATTGCTAATCAGTAGCCCCTGGTGACATGCATAAACAGGCCCAGCCTATGTCCTGGTCCCCACCCAAGGTGAGCAGGCTATGGGCCAGAGGTACCTGTGGAGGGACTTGAGTGAGAGGCTGCAGAGGTGGCTGCGGCATCTGAAGAGGCTTCAGCTGAGCAGGGGCCACTACCTGGGAGGTTGGAGCCAGATATGGAGGCAAATGAGAGGGCACTGGCTGGACAGTGCCCACGGGCTGCGGAGCCAGGACTTGTGGCAGGGTAGGTGGCTGGGCCATTGGGAGAGGCTGGAGGAAGAAAAGGGAGCCTTGTGCTCAGACACAAAAGACCCCGCATGTGTGTTCATATGCTCACACTCACTCATCTGCATATACATTCCCACATACACACTCGGATTCACACGCACCTTCACGACTGCATGTTTTCACACATCACACTCACAAACACACAGTGAACTACATTCACAATATATGTCTACATCTACACAACACTTACACAAATACATGTAGACCGCCAAGCTCCTGCTAATATGGAGTCAGCTAATAAAAACATTCTGAATAAGCAGAGTTTTCCATGTGCAGGCCTTGCATTACAAACTACAGATCTCTCTCTCTCTCTCTCTCTCTCTCTCTCTCTCTCTCTCTCACACACACACACACACACACACACACACACACACTAATGCTCACAAAGGAACATCCTTCACCCGAGCCACTACAAGCTTTGGCTGCAGAACTATCCCTCATAGGGGACAATTTAAGGGGATAAAATGAAGTCTCACACTTACCTGCTGGACAGGGGGTGCTGGCTGACTTGGGCCTATGGGCACAGGGGTGCTGGGTGGTGGCAGTACAGGAGTGAAGCTCATGGAAGGCTCTGGAAAATGCTGCTGCTGAATGAGTGGAGGGCGCGCAGGGGGTGGCACAGTGCCTACTGACAGGCCAGGCTGCAGAGAATATAGACGCCATATTCAGGGGCTGCCCTTGTTCCTTCTTGTCCCTGTGCCCAGCCCCCTCCCCACCAGGAACCTTGTTCTCAGAAAGGTGACTCAGCAGAAGCCAGGTATGGTGGCCCTACAATGCCATCAACAATACTGAAAAGCCACATATGGCCACAGCTCCCAGCCGGGGAATGTTCTAGAACATAAGCCCCATGGAGTATTATGCAACTATGTAAAAAGATCATCATAGAGGTTTTTCAGCACCATGGAGAATATATAGTCTATAGGCTATAGACTGTGGGCAGCTCATTTACAGTGACGATCAGGACTAAAAAGGGTGGTCCAATACATGTGGAGAGATGGGATCATACAGTTTGTGGCTGCTGGGAAGGACACACAGTCATGGGAACAAAACTAGAACAGTGAGGCCCTTGGCAAGGAGAGGCTCTGAGAGTCAGTCACAAGGGGACAGAAACAGGGCAGCACACAGTGAGGGCACTGGTCCACGCAGCTAGCAAAAGAACAGGAATTCAGCCCAAGAACGCCAAGGTTAAGGAATTGCTGCTACTTTGTCAATATTCTGTGTGTGGCGGTGGGGGGCGGGGGGGGGCGCTGGACTTTGTTTTGTTTTTTAATTTTATGTGTATGATATTTTGCTTGCATGTAGGTCTGTGTACCACACGCATGCCTGGTACCCGAGGAGGCCAGAATCCAGTATCAGAGCCCATAGGACTAGAGTAACAGGTGGTCGTGAGCCACCATGTGAGTGATGGGAACAAACCTCATGTCCTCTGCAGTCCCGTGTTACTAAGTTCAGCTCTCCAACCATATTCATTAGGCAGAGACAGACCCTGTAGTACTTATGGGAAAATCTCTGGTTGTGCAGGATTTACTTCACAACAATGAGGACCCTGGCAGTGGAAGGCTATGGGGAACATATCTGAACACAAGTTCATGGTTCGAAAGAGGGACTGACGTCCACTGCTCTCCAGCAGACTTCTCTAAGATGTGCTGCTTGGCACAGAGGCAGGGATCTCTAAAACACACTCCCACTTCCCCTTTCCTGGTGCTCTGTGCAAGAATATGGGGAGCAGGCACGTTTGGGATTCAGTCTCAAAGCTGGGTTCACCTAAAACCATAGACAGATGAGTTGGTCCAACTAGACCAGGCCAGGACAGACCGTCCACTTATGAGCTCTGGCCACTATCCATGGCTCAGGAGCTAAGGCAGGGTCTAGTGACCCCTTACTCCTGATGGTCTTCCACTTCCTCCTCCTCCTCATCGCCCCTGTCTGTTTACCCCACTGGATCCTGACGCATATCACCATAGTGCCCTTCTCCAGAAGCATCAAGAGGTTGGGATGTACCCTCCCTCCACAAGCCATCCTTCCTGTGAAAGTTGTCTCTACATCAGGAGGCAGGGAAAGAGAACCAAGAACCCTGGCCCGAGTCTGCAGTGTGGAGGGCCGCAACCACATTCTCCATTGCTTCAAGGGACAAAGGTAGAGATTGACCTCTGTGACCTTAAGGTGTGGTGGTACACGCCTTTAGTCCTGATGTCTGGGAGGCAGAGGCAGATTGACATCTGTGACCTCAAGGTGTGGTGGTACACGCCTTTGGTCCCAATGCCTGGGAGGCAGAGACAGGCAGATCTCTGTGAGTTCAAGGTGTTGTAGCACACGCCTTTAATCCCAGCGCATGTGTTTGGTAACTCTCTACTGCTGCGTCCCTGCCTACTTCCGAGGCATCATCTGGGATAATAGGCAGCGGACCAATCCAAGAGTGACACGTCAGAAGCGAGGACTGTTTCCTTTATAAGGGCTGGGTTCCCCTCATTCTGGGTCTCCGCCATGTAAGCTTATGCTCTCCCTCTCAAGACGCATTAAAGCTTTGCTGCAGAAGGATCCTAAGTGTTCCGCGTCGTTCTTGCGGGCGAGACACTGCAGCTGTGATCTCTCTGCTCAGCCTCCTGATTAACATGTAGATGGTAAGATCGGCTGGATTGATAAGGATGCACAGGACAGCTTGGGTGGGGTGAGGACCAGGGCAGCTAGCATATCCCAAGGCCTAAGGTAGCGCTAACCGTGACTGAAGGTGTGAGAGAGGCAGGCAGGACATTCTGGCTCAGCCCTAGCCGAGCAGCCTCTGGGGCAGCAAGTCCTATTGCATGAGGTCTTCCGGCCATTTAAAATCAAACCTCATTTCATTCTGGGAAATGAATAAAATTGCAAATGTGCGTATCACGGTGAATCCCAGAGCTCAGAGAAGCAGAGGCAGACACGATCCACGGTGTCAATTGCTTTTCCAAAAGGCCTGTTGGGCCTTTCTAGCTGCTCAATCCGATGTGGGCATGGGGAAGAAGAGTGCCTGCGTGTGCAGAGGACAGAGGTCACAGCACTCGCTTCAGTCTGTGCCAAGAAGCCACCATGGTCCAAGACTGTGCGACAACAGGGGCTACCAGCTTACCAGGCGGGGGATTCCAAGTGACCCAGGAAGACAGAACCCACCCAGGCGGGTCTAAATCACCCTCTGAGGACCCAACTCCACCACCCAGGTCACAGGCAAATTCTCAAGCTGAGCTCTTGGGTTGTGAAACAAGCATTTTTCAATGTTTAGAAAAAAGGCAACAATCACAGACAGGGCTTGCCATGGAGCACAAGGACTTGAGTTTGAATCCTCAGCACCTAGGTAAAAAGGCAGGTGGCAGAGTACACCTGTGCTCAGTGATGGGAGGTGGGAGACAGCAGGACCTGCTGGCCAGTCAGTGAGCTCCAAGCTCAGTGAGAGACCCTGTCTGAAAAAATAAGGTATAGACTCTGGACATCGGTCTCAGGCCTCCACGTGTACATGCAAGGGTGTGTGTACCTGCATATACCACAGGCACAAACATAAAACAGAATAAACCTGGAGAGATGGCTTAGCAGTTAAGAGCATTGCCTGCTCTTCCAAAGGTCCTGAGTTCAATTCCCGGCAACCACATGGTGGCTCACAACCATCTGTAAATAGGGCCTGGTGCCCTCTTCTGGACTGAAGAAAGAATACTGTATACATAATAAGCAAATAAATAAATTTAGAAAAAAAAAGATAATTAAAAAAAACAGAATTAATGCCCTGCCTGATCTCTCCTCCATCATCCACTTCCCAGATCTCACACACTGCCTGTCAGACATCCTCAAAGCCTGAGCCTCTGTTGCCCCCTGCAAATATTAAAAATGCCTCCCTGCTTCAACCTCATTTTCATCCCCAACTTTCAACAGCTACCGCTACCTGAAGGAGACATGCCAGGGGGTCTTGGATATTCCCTAGGTGAATGGACAGAGATAAATTCCCAAGCTCCGTTATCACAAACGATACATTTCTGTCATCTCTGGGATAGACCAGGAAAGACCCCAATGTGCCAGCATCATGCACCTGTGTGGTATCGGTGACAACCTCAGGACAAGGCTGGTTAGTTCCACCACAGTTCCCCAATCCATAGGTACCCTAAGGTCTGTTTCCAGATATTCCACACTCTATCCAGGAGTTCTTCACATCTAAGGCTCCTCAGCCTATAGTTCTTCAGCTCCCAGCAAGGACGAACTGCATCTTTAGGTCTCCAAGGGAAATGTGGCCGGGAGTTGACTATAGGGCACTCTAACCCGACAACAGCACAGTCCAGACAAGAGGCAAAGAGGACGGAGCAGGGGTGGCTCTCAAACTTACCACAGCGGCCGGCTGCTGGAAAGCCCCTAGTGCAGGCAGGTTGTGGGTCAGGCCAGGCCCCTCACTCACAGGGGGGCTGCATACACACGAGGCTGGGGTTGGAGTCGTGTCCATGAGGGAGCTGAGCACCATGCTCTGCTGGCTGCTCTGGGAGTCCGAGTACACAGTGGAGCCCTGGCCACTGTCGAAAGTGCTGTCCGCTGGGGAGGACCGAAGTAGAAGTTAGTGTGTACACCTCTAAATGCCGTCTCCCTGGCGCTTCAGGCAAGCGGAATGGCTTGTTCCTCATTCCTTCATCAAGACTAGGTCTGGGCTGTTTTCATGAATACTGTTTAAACCGTTACCTGCTCAGCAGCAGCATGAGGTCTCAGGCCTCCTGTGCCCCTGGCCTGATGCTGGGGTAGGCAAGGTTAGCTAGCCCACTGGAAGCAAATCCTGTCATTCCCTGCCCACTCTGGTTTGCAGGTGCAGAGGCTGCCCTTCTAGGATGGTACTTGGCAAGACAGCCTGCCCACATAGTCAGCCAGTGAAGAATGAAAACCGGAAACCTATCTGAAACAGCACTTTGAGGTCACTGCTTCCAGATTCCAAATGCCACAGCCTTTACAATTTGCCACCAAAACACCAAGCTATTTGCACAAGGGGTTGCCTTTCAGAGTGAGTACTCTGTCCACTGATAATTTAAGCCAAGTGAGGGGTAAGTCTTGTGGCTCTGCACTACCAATTTTTCCAAAGAGTGTTTTTAACCTAGGAAAACATAAGGAATGCTGATGTTTAATTGGGCAAAACTAATTAGACAAGCAGCTTTAGTTTTTAATGAGCCAACTGCTCATTAGAGTGACCATTTCTACCTAGACAGGACGGGAGAGGGGAGAAAAGGGAGTAGAAGAGGGAGGTGGGGAAGAAAAGAAGGTGACACTCAGGCTAACAAGATTCAAGAGGCACCAACTCCCGCCATGTGTGCAACACTTTAAATATTGCAAGTGATTTGTACAGATGACTTGTCTAATTAAAATTGTATTTTTGGAGAGGGCTACTGCCCCCCACATTAGCTGTGCTGTCAGGGTCCTCAACACAAGTGTTATGGCAGTAGAAGCTACCTGCTCAGCTTAGGTGGGGCTGCTGATGGAAGAATACTGAAAGTTCATGTGGTAAGGTACCGCCCAACACAGGTGTGTGTGTGTGTGTGTGTGTGTGTGTGTGTGTGTGTGTGTGTGCCTGTTTAGTGCAGGTCCTGCTCAGGCAATGTGTTGTCTGGTGCCCTTATCAGCCATGAAGCACAGAATGGTCAGCCACTTGCAGGAAGGTCAAACTCTTGTAGCCAGGTGAGAAAATGATGACAGGAAGTGCAGAAGGGCATTTGAGGGTACCATCCATGACTGAAGAAAGGGGAATGAGGGTGTGAGTGTATGTGTTCATATATATTATCTTCAAATCACATATGCAAGGATAGATGAGTATATTCTTTTTTTTTTATTGTTTGAGACAGTGTTTCTCTGTGTAGTCCTGGCTGTCCTGGAACTTGCTCTGAAGACCAAGCTGGTCTCAAACTTAGAGATTTGCCTGCTTCTGCCTCCTGAGTGCTGGGATTAAAGGTGTGTGCCACTACCGCCTAGCAAGTATATTCATGTATGCCCACATTTGTATTTCCATGTGTGGAGGTGAACACATATTCACACCTGTGTATGTGAATGCCTATATACTTATGTCTACCTGTGTCAGTATGATTTGTGATTTATGTATGTTTTTATAAGCGTGGATTATCTGCATATAAGGGTATGCACACTGGGTATGCATCTGTACATACATGCTATCTGTCTGCCTGTGTTTGTGTCCACATGTGAATGATACACACAGATCATCTCGGGAAGGCAGTTAAAAGACTTGCAGCATCTGTTGCCTTTGGGAGGGTACGAGACTTGCCTGTAAACCCTTAGGGGTTTAGAATTCTGAAAGATAAGTGCCAGCCATCTATTTTAAAGAAAATATAGTAAGTGAGCAAAAGCCCTCTGAGGCCAGCCATGGCTTCTGTGCTTAGCCCTTGGGTGTCCTGGGTCACATAGGAAAGGGATCTGGCGGCAGAGAAGTCCTACACCTAACATGAACTCATTGCCTTCTCTCTCTCTGTCTCCGTGGGATTTTCTCATATTGGGTCACCCCGACCTTCAGCATCTGACCACAAGAGGGACATTGTTTAGAGATCCCAAACTGGGTATGAAATGCAGAGCTCAGCTTGGAACGGAGTAAATAGTGGGCAAAGCACTTCAAAGTGAGGGCTGCTCATTTGCATCTAAGTAGTCGTCTTGGAAGCTGTTTGAGCCATGAACGAAGGGGGCTGCATATTAAATAAACAGGGTTGCAGTCTTTCCACATGAACAATCTCAAATATTGGCCTGGGCAGGTCACTGGGCCCTGATCTGTTCCAGGCTGGTTCACAGAGTGGGCAAAGCCATGTCTCCTGTCTCAGCTCATTGCAAGTTTTCAAACATGGAGGGCAAGCGGGACACTGACCGCCTATCCTGAAAAAGTCCTGGATCCCCTCAGGATGGCCTCCGGTGAAGCCTGCATCCAATCTACCTCAAGAAAAACAACGCTTTGTAGAGGGACAAATGGTCTCAGAGGTTCCTATAGAAGATACTAGCAGAGTTAAGAGTCCCAGTAAAAAGCACCCTAGTTAAGACAGCCGCCACTCAGTCTATTACACAGCCACCCACTTCAAAGACTGGGTGATGGTACCTCACTTGACCTGATGAGGCCAGAACTGATCCTGCCAGAGAATAGAGAACCAGTTGCCAGTCCACAGACGGACAATGTGAAGCTGAGGTGGAAATGGCTCCCTCAGAGCCTACGAGGTCATGGACATCTGACCTGAGAAGCCAGACTCCAGCAAGCTTTAACCCCTCTGGTCAGGAGTCAATGAGGAATGTACTGAAAACCCAATTTTTTTCCTGAAACAATCATCCACGCCCTGCAGGGCCAGCAGTGGGAAAAGTCTGGGCTGGCCAAGGAACCTGAACCCATGTGTCCTAGCAACTGGGGGCCATCTGTTAGCCCTATTACCCCTTGATATGCCCCTTAAAAGATCACCATGTGCCCTGGCACCAAGGTGGCTAGCAGGATGTGACCTTGGAACAGGAGACCAAAGCTTCAGGGGACTACCCATAGCTAAAACCAACAGACCCAGTTACCCGAGAACAGCCTAGGGCTCACCAGACTAAGGCAGGAGCTTACCAGGTACCTGCCTTTCTCAGAGTGTTGTAATAAAAGATAAGGACTGTGTTTGACGTTGCCCTGAAGTTGGTTTTGCTGGTTGTGGTGGAAGGAAGGACACAGTTGGCCATGGTGACCCTATTCCAGGTACTCACAGGCTAAGGAGGTAACGCTAGCTGGCAAGGTAGGGGGTAGGAGATGCTGGTCAGCCTCAGGTTCCTCCGGTTCTGGCAGTCCAGGCTGACCACTCTGTGCATGGTAGGTCACCTGGACCTGCAGGGGTGCTGGTAGACCCTTGGCCTTGTCAGGGCTGCCTGAGTCCTTTGGCTCCTGAGACTGCAGCGCAGGCCAGATCCTCTCACGCCGCCACTGAATTAGTGCTACCCGGTCACGGATGGACTTGGCCACAATCTTCACATCACTCTCATGGAAAAATCCAGAATCAATCTGCAAAGGTAGACACATGGTTAAGCATCTTGGGGATCAGCCATCCTGCATGCACCACTTACACACATGTACACATCCTAAAGCCTAGGATTACCCTACTGTCTACCGCCATTCTCAGTTCCCTCGTGAGTGCTGACTCCCAACACCTGCCTTTGAAGTTTACAGGCTCCAGCTGTGGGGTTCATGCCCAGCAAATATTCACTGACCTCATAAACCCTGACCTGGGAAGAGAAGACCCATTTGGTCATTGGAAAGCAGTATGGGGAACATATGGGCCTGGCAAAACCCTAAACCCCCTCCACCAGCAGAGTATTCCACGATCTCCAGGAAACAGTGAGCTCACTGGGAATATCTGTGGCAAAGTCACTTCCTGAGACACAGGTCCCTACTAAAGCTCTGTTAGCTGAACTATAGGGCCTGACAGGGACTGGTGAAGAGTCGGGATTGGGTTCCTTCCCTTCATGAAGACCTCAGTTCTAGAGAGATTGAGTGGGGGTGCAAGAGAGAGAGAACTCAATGAAGAAGACCAGAGTTCACAACCTCACAAGAAATTCCAGCTCCAGGGTATCCACCACCCTCTTCTGGACTCTGGGGGCACTGCACACATATGTGTATTACGACTACTGCCACCACCCCACCCCCTACACACATAAACTAAAAATAAATCTTTAAAAAAAATTTTTTTTTTAAAGACAAGGTTTCACTGTGTATCCCTAGCTATGTAGACCAGGCTGACCTTGAACTCAGAGATCCACCTGCCTCTGCTTCCTGAGAGCTGGGACTAAGGGTGTGCACTCCCATGCACAACAAGAAAAACAAATAAAATTTAAAAGAGATTATGTGGCTCTTGACTGGAACACTGCAGGGTAGGGATACAGGGGTGTCCTAGTGTGGGAACTGGGCAATACAAAGAACACATGTGATAGGCAGCACAGTCAGAGGGCGGTGACTGCGTCAGACAGCCAGGCTCCTCCCACATAGGAAGGCCGGAATGTGGAATAGACCCATGGTACTGCTTGGCCCCCGCAATATCAGTGAAACAGTCATGAATGAATCCAGAGGCACATGGATGGCACTTGTGTATGAACATGCAGATAACATATCCCCGTCAAGTGTGTCTACCCTGAGGGCCCAGTAACAACGTCCACAATCCTGAGAGGCCACAGGAAACCAGAGTTGCTCCTGGCACAGTAGCTCAGGGCTGGGCAGGTCAAGGAAGATGAGCCAACTGCCTGGACATGCTGAGGGAAGGACAGGGACGTGCAAAGTGGCATGGGAGCTGGTACTGGGGCAAATCCAGGACATGGGAACATCAGAATGAGCAGCAGCATAGTGATGCTGTAAAGGGCATTCCTGCAAATCCCAGCACACGGTCTGCACACCACCTGTGGGAGCAAGAAGGACATCTATCCTTTGGGATCAGGTAGGGAGGTACGGAGGGTCTCACTCACCCCTTCTATTTCTTTCTTTCCATGACTGTCTCTTTGCATGTCCCTACACCTCCCACACCCCTTTTCTCTCAGGCATTACTGCTCAGGGTGAAGCCACATTATGAGTTGCTCTCTCTGGAGACCCACCAGCAGGGAACTCTGCTACACGGGCCACCAGCCCTGGCTGACACCTGACTGTGCCTCCTGAGAGGCCCTAAGCCCCCCGTCCCCCCCAGACTGAGGACTGTAGAGGCTGGGGCACTCTGAGCACTATGGCTGCGGTAGTCTGCTGTGAGGTTGCCAACATCTAAATAGAACTGTCAGAGCAAGTATCCTCCACAACAGAGTGGACAGAAGCATAAGCCCCCAGGCAGGCCGCAGTGACAAAGAGGCTCCTTCTCTGAGATTCCTAGGATGTATCACCTACCCTAGAGGAGCATCTGAGTTCTTCCCAAGTGTCAGGCCACAGAAGGTAAGGGACTGAAGAGCTGAGGAGCCCCGGATTACTGACCCAACGCTTGGACACCAAAGATCTGAGCATCCTGAGGAAGGGATAGTGGTGGTGTGCTGATGACATTTGATTCTGAATGCAGGAAAACCCCTGCTTCATAGGAAATAACAGGCAGGAATGCACTCGGGGTGACGGGTGCTAAGCAGCAGCTCACTCTCAAACAGGACGTGGTGGAGGTGGGAGTCCTCCCAGGGAGCTGGTCCAGATCATCTCAAAGCAGTTTAAAAGACATCTGTGCTTGTGAGAGATTCCCCCATGAAAATGTCCCAGGTGAAAGTCTCACTGACCCCAGCAGAGGCATAAGCAGTCTGGGTATGTGGCCAAGAAAAGGGTCCAAAGAGGGACAGCCAGACACAGAATCCTCTGTGGGATCCGCCTACTCTCAGGGCCTGTGGTTCAGCCGCCATCTTGTGGGAAAACTTCCCAACAATAGGACAGTCCACACCCTCAGAGATGAGACCCCAGAGGAGACCAGATGAGGGGGTCTTCTGTCCTTAGGACCAGCAGCAGCCTCTTTCCAAGGACTTCAAGTCCGACCACAAAGACCTCTGTGAGGCAGCTAGGGCCGGACAGGCTAGAATGACCCAAGTCAGTTGTGAGCCAGAGTGAGTGGCCCAAGGCAGGTGTAATAACTGTTGCTGATCCCTGGAGCAGGCCTACAAAAGTGGCTAGAGCGCGAAGCATGCCATCCGTTAAGCCCCAGGTAGCCTCAGTTCACATTAAAGACAGTTGGCTATTCCTGCCATTCTGTAGGATGCTTGCTCTGAGGCTCCATGCCTCTACCAGGCAAGGACTACCTGACCAGAGTTGGCAAAGAGAACACCCCCTCATACCACCACAGTTATTTCCATTTTCTGCACCACTTCAGTCACCCCCAGGATGGCCTAACTGCCTCTAGCCCAGTACCCCAGAGAACCTGCCATACTTGACCTCATTCTGCCATGCGGACCTACGTCCCCACCCTACAACCCATCTTCATCTTCATCCCCTCCGGGTGGCTCCAGGAGGTCTCATCTGGATTCTAGGGTGCCTGTGGCACCTCACACCTATGTAGCCTCCAGAGTCTACAATCTTTGCCAGACTCATGTGCTGCTAACCGGTGACTCTCTCTGCGGCCTAGGCCCAGGAAGGGTCTGGAGACCTGGACAGTAATGACCCTAGAATTCCAAATATACAGAAGGAAGAAGGGCAAAGTTGGAACCTTGATAAGTTTCCTAAAGTCCAGGACCCATCCTAAGGCCCAGTAAGATCATGGCAGAGCTATGAGATGGGGCATGTGTGGCTGTTCACAAAACAGAGCCCTCACAGGGAGAATGTAGAGCTTTCAATTTGTCACATGTGGCAACAAGGCTTGGTAGAGTGGGAATACACACTGTTTATTATTATTATTATTATTATTATTATTATTATTACTACTACTACTACTACTACTATTACATTATTTTGGTTCTTTGAGACAGGGTTTCTCTGTATAGTCCCAGTTGTTTTGATACCTGTTCTGTAGACCAGGCTGGCCTCAAACTCAGAGATCCACCTGCCTCTGACTCCCAAGTGCTGGGATTAAAGGTTTGCACCACCACCACCCGGCATTTATTATTATTCTTTAAGTTGATAAAAGTCATGTCCTTTCTACATGGATGCCCATTTTATAGATGCAATGCCTTATAATGGAAAGAAAACACAGTTCAAGGCAGGAGAAGGAGATAAGGTGTGGGAGAGGAGAAGATTCACAAGAGAGTGCTGGGCCCAGGGACTTAACTGGAATTAATACGGGAACATAGCCTGGGACTTCAGCCAAAAGGCAGAGACCAGCTAAGGTGACTGACCTATAGTGGCTCTATCCTGTGGGAAGTCCTGTCCTCCACCTGATGACAAGCAGAGACAGGATAGAGCCTTGGGTGTCAACTGCTTCGGAAGCAGTGAAGCAGCATCCAGACAGGGTGCACAGGGTTTACCTGGGTTTAGGACACTGTCTTCTAGGGAACTGAACACAAATGAGAAGCTGAGGTCTGGGTGAAGCCCAGACACTCAGAATCTACCTGTTGGGGATCCTGGGCATCATCCTGGAAGAACCATCCATGCTGGAATCAATCACACTAAGCTTCAACAGCCCTTATCACATTGTAGCTATTCTGTAGCCCATGGTCCCAAGGCTCAGCTCCCAAATACCTCAAGCCCTGCATGGCCCAGTTCAGAGCAAGCAGAAGCACATTTGTAATGCAGCCCTGGCCTCACTTGTGAAGGCAAGCATGTTATTTTACCTGAAGAGACTCTGTTATATTAAAACCACAATGTCCAATTGCGTAAGAATGTCCCATTCTTACTCTAGTAGCCCCAACAGACATTCCTTGCAAGGCCAGCACAGTGTGATTTCCCCAGGATTTCTTCCTTTGACACACACAGGAGACTCTCCCTCCAATCCTCCTTCCCACGTCTATCATTCCCAGGCCAGTATCAAGGACCAGCACAGTGTCCAACAGTATGCTCTCAGCAAGTGGCTGACACTTCAACTCCAGCTGCCACAGTCTGTAGGGGGCATGCCACTTCACACGAGGCTTACTGTTCTCAGTAAAAAGCATGGAAAGACAGCCATTAACATCAGTGAATCGAAACGTGTGCCGGAAGCCGGCTGAGTGTATACAGTCACTCTTGACGACTGAATTGGAAAAACACAAGTGTACCATATCTAGCTACTACTGGCTACCACTGTGAGCCACGGAAGACCCCCAAGAAGCACGGAGCTAAAGAGTCCTGTGAGATGTGTTCACAGCAGAAGCTTTTCTGCCTGGGATGGGATCGGAGGCGAGCTTTGGGAGAGTGGCTCGGCCTGGTCACACAGGTGACTGCTTTGTGCATCTTGAGATGATGGTACAGCCTGCCCCAGAGAAGCCAGCCTAGACTTCATCTCAGCAATAATACGTCACCTCCATCCTCATCCTTACTACACTACACCACACAGTTGCTGCACAGGGGAGATGCAGCCCTATAGCACACTGGCAGCCCTGGAGGTCTGTCTTCCCTCCAGAAGCTGGAAGTGAGACCCTGCACTCAGCTGTACTTCAGAAGGCCACACAGAGAGGGTTCACCAGGAACACTCCAGCCTGCAGCTGTGGCAGCAGGACCTCAGCTCATCCTGAGTGTCTCCTTTCCACCCCAGCTCCCTTGGAGTCACGGAGGCCGAGGCCCTGCTGTCAGGCCACTTCTCCATCCTGCATTGACTTCTGTGCAAAAGCTAAACCCATCATGTACTCTGGGCCACTTGTTGTAGAAATGAAGTCTTAAGGCAGAGTGGACACAAGGCCCATGGAGCCCCTCTCTTCTGACTCTGAGCACTCACACATTCCAAGGAAACCAGCCTCACAGGGACGTGCCCACTTCTCTTGACAGGAGAAACAAGGAACCCATCATTCTGTGACTCGAGACTTAAGTTTTCAACAGATGTGCTCTGTTCAGTAGAAAGCTCATTTAGGAGCTGGGCATAGTGGGGCAAGCCTATAATCCCAGTTGCTTGGGGGACTTGAGACAAATGGATCAAAAATTCAAGGCCTGTCTGGGATAGAGTGAGTTCAAGGTCAGCCTAGGCAATCTAGTGAGAAGGGTTTCAAAATAAAATGTCAAAAGACAGCCTGGCGCTGTAGTAGAACACTTGCCTAACTGGAGTCTAAGGCCCTGGGTTCAAACCTTAGCGAGGAGTTGGGGAGAACCCTAGGGGGGAATGTGGGGGGGTATAAAAGTAAAAGTGGGGGGCTGAAATACACTTTAGAGGTAGAGTGGCTCTATGTTCAGTCCCCAGTACAATCAAAAAAAAAAAAAAAGAAAGAAAAAAATCTTATTTTAAAATAACTTTAAAGAACACCACCTCTGCGACAGCATTGTCAGGCTTCTGGTTCATGCCTGCTGTCTTCCCTCTGGATATTACTGGCATCCTGACTTCTATTTGCCACCTCCTTCACTGCAGCCTGGAGGCCTTTCTGGACTCCTCTTCCCTGTGGAGTGGTTTTGCTGCTTTCTCTTTCTTTCTCTCTCTCTCTCTCTCTCTCTCTCTCTCTCTCTCTCTCTCTCTCTCT